GCCTCCCGTGGCCCCTCCCCCCTGCTGGCCAGCCCCAATGGCCCCAGTTGGGCTGGCCGGCCAACCTCCTGTGGCCCCTCCCCCTGGTGGCCAACCTCCTGTGGCCCTGATCGGCCCCAATTGGCCCTGATCACCAGCCAGGCCAAGGGACCCCACCCGTGCACAAATTTGTGCACCGGGCCTCTAGTAAAAAATAAAACAAACAAAAGAGCAAAGCACAAGTTATCCCTTCCTCCAAACACACAGAGAGAGCAAAGATTTCTGAGAAATTCCTATAAACATGCCTTTGGACATATTAGATAGTTTACTATTAAACATTAAGGAATTTTAAGTTAGAGTTATAGAAAACTAGAGGTCTGGTGCACAAAATTCGTGCACTCGGTGGGGGGGGGGTAGTCCCTCAGCCCAGCCTGCACCCTCTCATAGTCTGGGAGCTTTCAGGGAGCAGGCCTAAGCTGTCAGTCGGACATCCTTAGCGGTTGATTTGCATATTAGCCTTTTATCCCTGCAGGATCAGGCTGAAACTGACTCTCTGACATCCTCTGAGGGGTCCTGGATTGCAAGAGGGCGCAGGCCAGGCTGAGGACCCCCACTGGTGCATGATCGGGACCTGGGAGGGACACGGGAGGTTAGCCAGCTGCAGAGGGACCGTGGGAGGGCTCTAGGGCATGTCCGGCCCATCTTGCTCAGTCCCAATTGGCTGGGCCCCAGCAGCAAGCTAGCCTGCTGGTCAGAGCATCTGTCCCCTGGTGGTCAGTGCACGTCATAGCAAGTGGTTGAGTTGCCTTAGCATATCATTAGCATATTATGCTTTGATTGGTTGAATGGACGACCGGACACTTAGCATATTAGGCTTTTAGTATATAGGCATGGCATTTACTGATGAAAATATGACATGGCATTTACTCCATGTTTATTATGACACCCTTAAAATGTTTGTAAAAATACAGGTGCCTTTAAAATATTACCTATTTGTAATGTCAGAAGAGGGAGGAGCAGATATTAAAGAATTCTTTATTGCTTAAGGTGAAAGCTTATCAGGAAACCCTAGCAAAACTACCCAGTAGGAAAGATCTGCTATAGCTGACAAATCAGGCAACCTCTGAGCCAATAGCCACGTCAGTTCTATTTGATTGGTCCTTGAACCTTGTTTACCTTTAAGTAACTGTGACCTTTTATTCCACTGTTCAGTTCGGCTGGCCTGACTTAAGTGTAAAAAACACATAAGGGACCCATGCTGTAGAGAGAATGTTCTTGGTAGGAAGAAGCAACAGTAATGATGAGACAACTTTTTAAAAAAAATCTTAGCTTTCTGGAAAATAGCAGATTATAGTGGTAAGGACTTTGGAATTAGACAAGCCTGAATTTAAATCCTGGCTCTTCTACTTACTAGCTGTGTGACCTCTTAGGTTGCTCAACTTCCCTGATCCTTAGTTTTCTCATTTGTAAATTGGGGCTAATAATAACTGTATATATATGTATTAATTTGCCTATCACAGTGCCTGGCAGATGGTAAGTATTAAAAAAAGATAGCCATTATTATGACTGTTAACTTCCTTATAAGATATTTAGATTACTAGACATACTTCTTAGAATGTATGCATCATGTATTCTGATTTAAAGAGTCAGGAGGAGAGGGAATCAGTTTCTAGAGATCCCAAGAGACAATCTTATATGAGGGCCTATTTGTGTAGAAATTGTTAAAGAGCATTTTAAAAATTAAACTTTTTATTTTGAAATAAAAGTAAAGCCTATAGAAAAGTTGTAAGAATATTAAAATGAACCCCTTTATGCCCTGCCTAGATTCATACATTGATAACACTGGCCATATTTGCTTTACCTACTTTATATGTAATGTAATATGATGTACATATATTTCTTCTTTTTTTTTTGCTGAGGGTAAGTTGCAGAGATCATGACCTTTTATCCCTAGATACTTCAGCATTTTTCTCTAAAAACAAGGACAGTCTTTTCCATAGCACACTGTAAAATCAAATCAGAGAAGTTAAACATTGATGTCTATTATTTGATGTACAATTCATATTCAAATTTTATTTATTGTCCTAGTAACTATTCTTTGTAACAATTTTTCCCCCAATTAAGAATTTTGCATTATATTTAGTTATCATTTCTTTGGTCTCTCTTTTTTTTTAATTTTAGAGAGAGGAAGGGACAGAGATAGAGAGATGAACATCGATCAGCTGCCTCCTGCACGTCCCTGCACGTCCATGCAACCGGGGCATGGACACTGACTGGGAATTGAACCAGTGACCTCTTGATTTATGGACCCACACTCAACCACTGAGCCACACTGGCCTGGCTCTTTGGTCTTTTTTCACCTGGAGCAGTCCTTCAGCCCTTTATTGTTTTTCATGATTGAAATTTTTTGAAGAACACAGGCTTGTTTTGTACACTGTCCTTTAATTAAGGTTTGCCGGCTTATTCCTCATAAATCCATACAGGTTATGCATTTTGGGCAGGTAATGTATCCTTAGTGCCTCACACAAGGAAGCATTCATTATTGGTTATGTTGATTAACTTTGATCACTTAGCTAAGAGATTTTTAAAAATATATTTCTTTATTGGTTTCAGAGAGGAAGGGAGAAGGAGAGAGAGATAGAAACATCAATGATGAGAGAGAACCATTGATCGGCTGCCTCCTGCATGCCCCCTACCAGGGAGCCCACAACTTGGTCATGTGCCCTTGGCTGGAATTGAACCTGGGACTCTTCAGTCCGCAAGCCGACACTCTAGCCACTGAGCCAAACCGGCTAGGGCAGCTAAGAGATTTTTTCACTAAAAAGGTAACTCTCCCTTTGTAATTAATAAATAATCTGTGGGGAGATACTTTGAAACTGTGTAAATATCCTGTTCCTCAACAAACTTTTCCCTAATGGTTTTAGAATTCTAAAGAGCTTTTTTACATCATAAACACGTGGTTTCCTCACCTTGATTGAGAACTTCTGGAGAAAACAGTTTTTACTTTAAAAAATTATGTCGAGTACCTTGTACACAGTAAGTACTTAATATATTGACCACCTGAGCTTGAGCTGCCTGTCACCAGATTGCTGATTACATTTCTCCAATGGTTTTGTCTGCTTACCCTGAGAAGAATTTAACAGATATTTACAGAGAAGTCTTGTCATATGCAAGTTAGAAGTGGTCACTAAATGGACCGATTAGGCATTGTTAGCAGTGAGATGGGAGTAGCCACACTGACCTGGATATTTTGAAAGAATACTTAATAACAATAATGAAGAAAAGCTCTGATTATCATCACTGGAAAAACTTGTTAAATGTATAGTATCTTTCCATTTTAATTTGCATTTGTGATGAAAGGAAGTTTCTGGGTGGTGTTCATCTTTCACTTTAGACTCACATTTTTTTACGTCAGCCTAATACTTCAGGTGTCACCATCAGTCTCTAAGAATTAGGTCAGGTTTCTTGTAGATCTTGTCACATTGCCACTTGGAATTTAGCTGGAGGAAAGAAAGTAAGGCACAATTGCTGTTGTTTAGATGAACATCTTATTCAGGAGGGCTTATTGGAGTCAGTGAGGCAGAGTAGAATGTCCTCATTCTGTCTGGCACTTGTTTTGTTTTCCTCCTCTGCTCTGAGGATCTTTCTTCCGTTTCGCTGTGCGTATCTTGGGCAGAGAAGGCAGCTGATCATTAAAATTCCTCTATCCCCAATTTCTGGCTGATGCCTAAAATTTCATCAGTGCCAAGAAATTAATTTGTTTGTGTAAATTACGTTACCCAAAGCAGATCCTTGCTGGGAATTGGAGAGGTAGCACAAGCCAATATCTAAATATGAAATATCAAACATTCAGAACTTTTATATAATAGCTAGTTGCTAGAAGCTCTCCGCAAAATGAGACAGTAATGACTTTTTTCCTGGGGCAAGGAGAAACCTGGTTGAGGTTTTAATAGTTGGGGACTCTGAGCAAATTTAAGGTGCTTGAGACTCTGAAAGAGAAAGGGAAAATGAATATTAAAGAAGGAAGAAGAAGGATATTTAAAAGCTACAATACACTTACACCACAATTTCCATAGATCCCTGGTGGAGTGGTGTCTGAAATCTACAGAGCATTTAGAGTTAAGAAATCCATGCTTTGTTAAAACAGGAATTGGTGATAGCCAATCCTTTAAAAAAAGGCTCTTTCCCCCATCTGCACCAAAGACATACCTTTTACATTTCCTTGCATTGGTCATACCTCCAGGTGTCCTAAAGGGTATTGTTAAAGCTGTATAACAAACTTTCTCAGCCAAGTTATTTCAATCTTTTGCATGCAGTCAGGATGTGGAATTAGTAGGTAATATGCAGGCTTCATTGGTCAAGGGAAATAAGTTCCAAGGTCAGGTGATTAATTGTGGCCTTTGTTCCACAGAGAGTCAATTTAGAGTTTCTACTGGAGCCTGTGTTTATGAAGCTTTGTTTTTGCCAGATGCAGTTGGCTCTTCTTTGGGAAATATGTGCCATGGAATTGATCTTTTGCTGAGTATATCTGTGTTAACATCTCTGAAATACTGGTGACAGACTTTTTTCTCCCCCAGTGAGAAAAGATTCTTTTTCACTTTCTATGACCGGTTAAAAGAAGATGGATGCACAGAATTCAGCCAAAGTCAACACAAGAAAAAGGAGGAAAGAGGCACCTGGACCCAATGGGGCAACAGAGGAAGATGGGATTACTTCCAAAATGCCACGCTGTGCAGTTGTAAGTAAGGAAGAGTTTTCTGTGTTGTACATTTAACCTGGCAGGGGGAAGGTAGAAAACTGATATAACATTACAAGTCTTCTTAAATAATGGAGACAATGAATAGTAAGTGTGGATAGTAAGTATTTTCATAGTTGTTGGAAATCTTATGCTTTCTTACCAGATTATAACTCACAGCTCAGTTGTAAGAGCTTTACATAGGAATTAGAAAAAGAATGTTAGGAAAATTTGGAGGTTGTGTTGTATATTAGGCTAAAGATCAAATTGAAACTAATGAAATAGAGAAATCAGGTCTCCAGGCAGTGATCTGATCTTGGTATCATCTCATGGTGTTTAGTTTTCTGTCTTACTATCTTTTCTCCCATATCATTTAACCACTCTATTACTGCTTATATCTTAGATGAGAACTTTTTTCTATTACTGTTTACCTTGTATTCCTTTATCTCTGGGACATTATCTTTGTATTTCTAATTGTTGCCAAGCCTTCAGTGAAATACCCTATTCCAAATTGCTCTTCCTGTCTCAGGTTTATATCCTTCCTAAATCTTCCCCTCTAAAAACATGTTAAAGAACACACAAGTGAAGTTATTATCATTATTATTACTAGAGACCCGGTGCACAAAATTCGTGCATGGGGTGTGTGTGTGTGTGTCCCTCAGCCCTGTCTGCACCCTCTCCAATCTGGGATCCCTCTCACAATCCAGGACTGCTGGCTCCCAACTGCTTACCTGCCTGCCTGCCTGATTGCCCCTAACTGCTTCTGTCTGCCAGCCTGATCACCCCCTAACCACTCCCCTGCCAGCCTGATGCCTAACTGCTCCTCTGCCGGCCCGATTACCCCTAACTGCCCTCCCCTGCTGGCCTGGTCACCCCCAACTGCCCTCCCCTGCTGGCCTGGTCACCCCCAACTTCCCTTCCTTGCCAGCCTGGTTGCCCCTAACTGCCCTCCCCTGCAGGCCTGGTTGCCCCTAACTGCCCTCCCCTGCCGGCCTGGTCACCCCCAACTGCCCTCCCCTGCCGGCCTGATTGCCCACAACTGCCCTCCCCTGCCGGCCATCTTGTGTCCACATGGGGGCGGCCATCTTGTGTGTTGGAGTGATGGTCAATTTGCACATTACCTCTTTATTATATAGGATTATTATTATTCTAATCCTCACCTGAGAATATTTTTCCCATTGATCCTTAGAGTGGAAGGGAGGGAGAGGGAGAGACACATCAATTGGTTGGAGGGAGAGTAGAGAGAAACATTAATGTGAGAGAGATACATCAATTGGTTGCCTCTTGCACATGCCCCGATTGGGGCTGGGAATCAAACCTGCAACCCAGGTACATGCCCTTGACTGGGAATCGACCCATGACTGTTTGGTGCATAAGCTGACACTCTAACTGCTGATCAACACCGGCCAGGGCTGAAGTTATTATTGATATACAATATTATGAAAATCCATGATCCAAAATCCCAGTGACAGAATTGCATGTTTCTGTATTTTCTTTACCTATATTGACCATTAGCCAGTGATCAAACTTTAGTTTCCATTGGTTAGTTCTGGAGTTTCATAGCCCAAAGGGAAAAGCATTTCTACTCTGACACAGTAAACAATTGTTCGAAACCAATACTCGTATCTTGTGCAATAAAAGCAACAGGACTTCACAAATAGGAGACATATGCTCCAGGCCTGGTATTGATGATATTAGTAGGGCAAGTGTATTAGTTTCCTATTGTTGCTATAGCAAGTTACCACAAATTTAGTAGGCTGAAACAATACAGATATACTATCTTACAGTTCTGGAGGTCAGAAAATTGAAATGGGTCTCTGAGACCTAAAATCAAAGTGTTGGCAGAGTTGGAGGTTCTAGGGGAGAATCTGTTTCCTTGCCTTTTCCGGCTTCTAGAGACTGTTCACATTGCTCTGCTCATGGTGCCAGCCAGCAATTGCATCACTTTTTAAAAACATATATACGTTTTTATTTAGAGAGGAAGGGAGAGGGAGAGAGAAATAGAAACATCAGTGATGAGAGAGAATCATTGATTGGCTGCCTCCTGCACACACCGCACTGGGGATCGAGCCCTCAACCTAGGCATGTCCCCTGACCGGGAATCGAATTATGACCTCCTGGTTCATAGGTCAACACTCAACCACTGAGACATGCTGACCTGGCTGCATCACTTTATTCACTACTTCTGTCATCACATCTCCTGATTCTGACTCTCCTGTCTCCTTCGTTCACTTATAAAGACCCTTGTGATTATATCGGACATACCTAGAAAATGCAGGATAATCTCCTTGTCTCAAAATCCTTTAATTTAACCACATCTGCAAAGCTCCTTTTGCCATGTAAAGCGTAGTTGTAGGTTCTTGAGAATAAGATGTAGATATCTTTAGGGGGCCATTATTCTGCATACCATAGCAAGTAAAGTCAGAAAACGACTCAGCAGTCAACAAAACAGGACATTAGTTTCTGAATGTTCCTTAGTTTAGATTAAGGAGATGGTGGTGGGCACCAATTCAGCAATCTCACTTGGAGAAGGGACAAATTATAACAAAGTACGTGGTACTCTCAGGCAATCACCATAGCCAGGAATAGAGCAAAGAAGGCCTGTCTTATTGGAATGGGCTCTGAGAAGACTTAAATTTCTTGGTCCTTAGAATCTGAGAAATCTCAGTATTTTAAATTACTTTGCTTCATATATTCATGCCACAAATCAGTTGAGTGACTTTTGTTACCTATTTCACATTCTTCTCTGACACACTCTGGCCTACATGGGCTAATGTTTAAAGATTCACTCACCCAACTGGCTGGACTGATCCTAATGAGGAGTATATGTTAAATAAACTTGTTTGTCATCTCCTTTGTATACTTGTACTTTTTGTCTGTGAGCCTATTTCAACCCTGTAGCAAAAGCAAACAAGATATAAATGTATATATTTTTGTTAATCCTTACCAGAGGATATTTTCCCCCCATTGATTTTTAGAGAAAGTAGAAGGAAAGGAGGGAGGGAGGGAGAGAGAAACATCGATGTGAGACACATCTATTAGTTGCCTCCTGCAACTGGGGCTAGGGATCAAACCTGTAATCCAGGTACATGCTCTTGACTGGGAATTGAACCCTTGACTCTGTGGTACATGGGATGACACTCTAACCATTGAGCACACTGGCCAGGGTGATGTTTCCGTTTTTAAAATAAATATATTTTTATTTATTTTTATATTTTTATTCATTTCAGAGAAGAAGGGAGAAGAAGAGAGAGATAGAAACATCAATGATGAGAGAAAATCATTGAATAGGCTGCCTCCTGCACGTCCCCTACTGGGGATTGAGTCCGCAACCCAAGCATGTGCTCCAATGGGGAATCAAACTGGGACCTACTGGTTTGTAGGTCAACGCTCAATCCCTGAGCCACGCTGGCTGGGCTTAAATATATTTTTATTGATTTCAGAGAGGAAGGTAGAGGAGAGAGATAGAAACATCAGTGATGGGAGAGAATCACTGATTGGCTGCCTCCTGCATGCCTTCCACTTGGGATTGAGTCCACAACCCGGACGTGTGCCCTGACCAGGAGTTGAACCAGAACTTCTTGGTACCTAGGGCGACGCTCAACCACTGAGCAACACTGGCAGGGCTGTTTTGCTTTTTCAATAACAGCTTTATTGAGATCATATAATCCACCAATTTAAACTGTATAATCAATGGTTTTTAGTATATTCACAGAGTTGTGCAACTATTACCACAACCAATAAACATATATTGAGAACCTCTGTGTGCCATTTGCTAGAATTAGAGATACAATGATGAAAAAAGCTCTGGTTGGTTTGAGTCAGTGGTTAGAGTGTCAGCCTGTGGACCTAAGGGTCTCGGGTTCAATTCCTGGTCAAGGGCATATACTGCAGTTGCAGGTTCGATCCCTGGCTCCGGTTGGGGTGGATGCGGGAAACAACCAATCGATCAGTCTCTCACACATTTATGTTTCTCTCTCTCTTTCTCTCCTTCCCTTCCTCCCTCTACTCCAGCGGTTCTCAACCTGTGGGTCGCGACCCCTTTGGCAGTCAAACGACCCTTTCACAGGGGTCGCCTAAGACCATCCTGCATATCAGATATTTACATTAAGATTCATAACAGTATGCCGAACCGGTTTGGCTCAGTGGATAGAGCGTTGGCCTGCGGACTGAAGGGTCCCGGGTTCGATTCCGGTCAAGGGCATGTACCTTGGTTGCGGGCACATCCCCAGTGGGGGGCGTGCAGGAGGCAGCTGATCAATCTCTCTCATCGATGTTTCTAGCTCTCTGTCCCTCTCCCTTCTTCTCTGTAAAAAATCAATAAAATATATTTAAAAAAAAAAGATTCATAACAGTAGCAACATTACAGTTATGAAGTAGCAATGAAAATAATTTTATGGTTGGGTCAAAACCTGAGGAACTGTATTTAAAGGGCCAGAAGGTTGAGAACCACTGCTCTACTCTATCTAAAAATCAATGGGAAAAATATCCTCAGGTAAGGATTAAAAAAATGATAGCCTGGCCGGTAATGCTCAGTGGTTGATCATCGACTCATGAACTCAGAGGAAACTGGTTTGATTCCACTCAGGGCATGTGCCTAGGTTGCGGGTTCAATCCCCAGTAGGGGGAACGTAGGAGGCAGCTGATCAATGATGTTTCTCTCTCATAGATATTTCTATCTCTCTATCCCTTCCTCTTTCTCTAAAAATCAATTTAAAATATATTTAAAAAATCTCTATATATAAAAGCCTAAGCGACTGAACAACCGAATGACTGGTCGCCTGGTTGCTATGATGCACACTGACCACCAGGGGGCAGATGCTCAATGCAGGAGCTGCCCCCTGGTGGTCAGTGCCCTCCCACAGCCAACCTCCCATGGCCGGCAACCTCCAGTGGCCCCTCCCCACAGCCGGCTGGCCCCCATTGACCCCGATGGGAACCTAGCGAGATGGCCCTGATCGGCCCGATCACCCATGATCGCTGGCCAGGCCAAGGGACCCCAG